CAACTACAACAACAGCAGCAATAACAACAACAACAACAACAGCAGAAGCAACAACATCAACAACAGCAGCAATAACAGCTGCAGCAACAATATCAGCAGCAACAACAACAACAGCAGCAACAACAGCTGCAGCAACAACAACAGCAGCAGCAACAACAGCAACAATATCAGCAGCAACAACAACAACAGCATCAACAACAACAGAGTAGTATATAACAACAGCGGCAACAATATCATCATCAACAACAGAAACAATAACAAGTTGCTATGAAAGATTTGCGTATGTTGTTGCATTGTTTGTTAAAAATAGCCTTGAATTATGTGTGCTTATGATTGTAGATCAGAAAAAAGACAAATCCAAACCACCATCACCAGCTCAAGTACTTGAAAACTTACGCCATACTATGCTTGATTACCAGAACCGATGTTCCAATGCATCAGCTGAGGTACTTTCTTAATACGAGACCTTTTCTGCTTTTACTTACAGGACTTAATGTTATTTCATTGTATTTTTAGCTAAAAAGACACCGTGAAGTCGTTGAGAAGCTTTCTTCGGATTGTGACAAGTATAAAACCGTGATTTTRAATAAAGACAAAACTGTAAAGGTACAGATTGACATGCTCCTAGAACTCGGCAAGATCTTTAGGGTTACAAGCTCTGTGATGTATGATTAAGACCGGCGCAAAAACTTTCCACATTTGCTGCAGCATGCGATTTTCGCGGTCATTTCAACAATGTAGTAGCCTGCTCAGTATTCGCTCTAGTTACCATCAAAGTATGTTTAAAACCCCACACAAACGCGTTCAATATTACCGTTCAACAAGAGGCGAACAAATGTTGAAGCAGAAGCATGAAAGCCTTTGCGAATACACCATTCAACACTGTTTCACAGGGTTCAACTAAAAGGAACGAATGTTGAAACAAATGCTGCAAGCGCTTAAGAGTGAGGTTTGATTGATTATTGTGACAATAGTGTTGTCCTGACAACGCCAGCGGGAACCGACTGTGTCTTGGGTTTTAGTGGAATAGTTAAGTGCTATCTTCTGCGTCTSTATGTTGCTAATGAGTGTAGAGAGATGTTTCTTCTTCCTAGAAAATGAGGCACTAAAMGATAGTTTTAMCAGTGTCTTAYTGCTGGGTTTTATTTKTCATGTATTCTTTAAAATTCCTCGTTTTCCGAAAGTGTGTTTSTTCGTATTGTTGTTTTAGGAGTTGGAAGACCATTTGAATAAAGCAGCGAAAGAGCTTGCTAAYGCACGTACAGAGTGTGCAGAGAGGGAAGCAGTTATAGCGTCTCTCAAACTCGATATCAAAAGTAAAGGGAAAATATCTGAGGAAGAAGCCGAGAAGGTTTCAAGTATACAAGAAGAGGTATTTCACTTCACATTGACTCGTACTTTTGACTCTGGTACTTTTGACTCTGGTACTTTTGACTCTGGTACTTTTGACTCTGGTACTTTTGACTATACTGTACGATAAAAACTCACATACTAATGGAAAGAGTTAGGTAAAATCCCTCTACTAACTATTGTAAAATCAGTACTGTGCAAGTAAGAGTAATTCCAGCCTGAAAAAAAACCCGAAAGATTAATCAATAATTATAGAATGCTCAATATAATGCAGGACCTGTATGACAGACTGAATACTAGTACACATTTATTACTGTTTGGTAGCATAACAATTTTGAGATCACCTTAAGAACACCTATCAGGCAGATTTTGTACTCATTGGACAAAAACACAGCAAGCCTTGAATCCAAAAATTGGGTGCGATACATAATTACTTGGCTGGGTTTCACTGCGCGATTAAAGACGGCTGTGGGAGAGACCATGAAAGTCATGTGTTGATTTAGGATCAAGTGCAGTATTTCAGTTTTGCAATGAATTGGAATGTAAACTGCGTATTGAGAATTGAGTAATTTAAAGTTTTTATTTTTTTTAGAATGCGCGATTAAAAGTAGCTTACAAGAACGAGGACGAGGTAAGATTTAACGCCGTAAAACACTATACTTTCAAGCCTTGCTGCAAGAATGAAGTAGCAAATCTAAACTTTTAGAGTAGCTCAAACATTTTGCTTGAGCAATTTTGGCTATGCAACTGGGAGGGTATAATTTCAAAGTCCAAGAATTTTTAAGGAAAGTCTTAGTTTAAACAAAAAAACCCTAAAGTTCGTCGTAACTGATAAACTGGAATCTTAAGAAATGAAGCCTAGCTATCTAAAGCACTGACTGTAACGGTTTATTTAGAGTCGACGATTGTTTCTACATTCCCTGTACCAACGCATGGTGACTGGAAAAGTCTACAGCAATTCTACGACTGATTCCTCGMTGGGTAAATTCTCGTGGACGGACTTGAGTAATCTTGTGTCTGAACAGGTTATTGCACACATGAATGAGATTGACAGACTCAATGGCAGGGTATGTTGATTTGCTTTCTTAGCTCCATGGTCCACTCAACACATGGGATTTTGTTTATGTTTTAAATAGAAATACATCGTAATATCAGCAAAAACTTACTCTTTATTATCCATTTATGCTATATAGATAGTGTAAGAATCGATCTTAAAACTGACGGATGGAAAACAGATTGCGAATCGATATTTCAAGTCACGTCCTTTTCCACTAAAGAAAGATGTAAAACACGACCGCAATGAATGCTGGTGGTCCATAGCCCTTTAATAAATGCCCTCATGTGTATTTGTGATAATAATAAAATTGTATTTATCACTCACATAGAAAGCATAAACCTGTGGATTTGTTTAATATCAAAGTGTAGAGTTGCGACAGCAAGTGCTTGTATTGATACTGACTTCTTGTCCAATGACTGAAGGCCATTCATGAGACTATAAGACAGAATTGAGCATTTATGTTGTGCCGGCAAAGTTAGTGAATTTCCCCTCTACAAACTATGGTGTCATTGTCATTCGCATTTTTTCATCAGACACAAATAACAGTGTAATCAGATATAGCTCACATCATAGTGTTCTTAACTGGCAGTTTCTTTGTGACTTGAGAACGTATGATTGTTAGTGTTATTTGCTGAGAGGCTCACGACCTGTACCTTCTCGTGTCCACAGTCTTGTTTAGTGAAAGTAATKCTTTTTTTAGGTCGATCATCTCGAGAATGTAATGTCAGAGAAAGAAGAAGCACTTCTAAAGAGTCAAGATGCACACGAAAAAAGCGTATCTAAGGTAGAATATTATTAACAATACAAATATTTCCAAATACTTTTGACAAATATCTGCAGAAAGCACTGTTCTTTGCACGGGACTGAAAAGAGTAATCAGACCGGCTGGCTTGTAGTAAAATTGAAGCATGCTTTTAACCAATCTGTTTTTTTGTTTGTTTTGTTTTACGTGTATTTTAGTCAAGCATTGTTCTTAGGAATAACGCCGTGATTTCCCAASCATCAATTTTGCTTTTTCCAAATTTTCATACATAAAATTTACATTTACAATTTTTTAACGAACTATGTTCCTCTCTAGTTTTCTTCTGCGCTTAAAGACAGAGAAACSTCATGGAAGAAACAGAAAAGCGAGTTGGAGCAACACTATAAGAGAATTATTGAGGATTTACAGAATAGATCCAAGGTAATCTTAGTGCTATAATGACTCAATCTCGAGCCCAGAGTCTTCACGGCTATTGTCAGCGGTATACTGGATGGCAGAAGTGCGGCCTCTGGATACTAGATTAATAATGACTGCACAGAGTGTACCAGGGCACAGTCTCCTTGAAATTGGATAAAGTTGTCATCTAGATAATAGTCATATCTACTATACATAGTCTCTTTGCAGCCTCCCCTTTTGTCGGGCTTCCTGTCCCTTCCAAAAGAAGAGGAGGGACAGGAAGYCCGTCAAAAGGGGGAAGCTGCGAAGGAGACTACTACACACATTATGTATGGATTTTATCAAAAGGATTTATTCAGGTGGATCATATCGCCATTGACAGCCGGACCCAGGTCGGTCAACAGTTTGATGGTTTCCTTGACCGGGTTGTTTAAAGCCAGATTAGTGTTTTAAAATCCATGGTTAACTCCATAAGTGTTTCAAGAGTTGACCCAGGATTAACGCGAATCGAGCTTTGACCAACCTGGATCTGTTGTTTGCTTTTAGAAAACTCAAATCTTGGCCGATAAAGCATGGGAACGAATTCAAGAAACTGGTCACGTGAAAGAGACATTAGAACAACAAAACAACAAGCTCATTCACAGTATGGACTATATGTCACGTGATAATGCATCTTTATTAGCGGCTTGTGCACTGCTCACGGGTTCCCTGTGGCCTGCTTACAGCAGAATACGATCTCTTACGTCACAGCGTAATATTCTTAACGAGTATGCTAACGCCTTGGAGGGACTGAGGCGAATGGCGSGTAATTTAAGTGAAATGTTGAATAATGAGCTTGAAGAAGAGTCATCGTTCGAGACTACGTCCTCTAGAGGAAGGTCCTCTCGCTCTGATGGTCGACATCTCGTGCTTGTGTTTCGTTCAGCGGTCATTGCTGTCATAGCAGCGAACAGATTGCGATACTTTGGTCATGTCAGTAGTAAAGTATTTGTATCAGCAGCTTGTCCGGGAGAGATTGGTGGTCTGTCAGTAGTTGTAGCTGGTGGAGTGACTTCCTATGAAGATAATTTTTCAGGTAGGCAACGATTATGTTCCATTCGATGATTCAGAGAAAGATTCCAGATTCCAGAAAGATTTGTTTAATAGTGGTTGTAGCAACCCTTGGATTAAAGGTTTTGGGGTACAGGAATGGGTATGGGCGTCGAAAATTTTCAAATACACATATAATTGCAAAAACGTTGAACATAAACAGAAAAATCATAAAAAAGACAAAAGACGAATACTCAGGCTTAACGCTATCACAACGCTTTTGCAATTAGGTCTATCAAAAGATAAAAGGTTTCATCAAAGGGCCCTATTATAATTCAAGTACAAAAATTTTCTCCGCTCTCATTGGTCGAGGGTTGACCTATCAGTGACTATCAGTGCATAGAGCCCGCCTCTTCAGAAAAGTTTGTTGAATAATAAAAGCAATAGAGCAGTTGCCCTTGGAAACTGGATGATCCTCAAAATTTTATAGTCAAAACTATAACTTTTATCGGAACATCCAGTTTCCGCAGACARCTATCACAGCGTAATGCCCTCGATTAGACTACTTTATTGTCCAAATAGAAAATTATACTCCAAAAACATAATTGAATATTCTATTGTTGTTATCAGTTGTGGTGGACAAACTAAACAAAGACATTTTCAATATTCGCAAAGCACGTGAAATAAGTGGGTGTTCTAATGCGCATGCGTGGTTGACGAGCGCTCATTTGCAAGATCACGTGGTTAGTGCACTGGTTGAGTTGAATGATAATCTGAAAACAAGAAACGACGAAACCGCGAACGAAAATGGTAAATATCGTGAAATTTCAAACTATTTTCATTGTCTTCTATACTCAGATCTCTGAATTTGCACAGACTGTTACTGAATAAATAGAGGATATGACATGGGTTTGAAGCTAACACAGTGTAAAAGACATCGCTAAAAATGTTTATTTCTATATAGTCCTAATCCATTGTATCTATTTTTTATCCATATTATTTTCATTATCATAGACAATTCCCTCACCTTTGCCAACCCTTCCRTTATAAACGCTGCTAGAAGCTCCTACTCGAAACTTATCTCCAGGCTCCAGACGGAATTCTCCGGTGCTTTGTCCGAGGAGAGGATTGGGAGTAGCTATCGCGGGGATCTTGTATTCATGTTGGGACAAGGACTTCATAAGCTTCTCGCTGGTATGAACACACCGGTCGGCACAGGCTACTCGTCTTCACAGGTATGATATACATTAGCTGATGGTTATTTGCCGTGATAGAAGGTCAGCACTCCGTTTTCGAATTTAAAGCGAACAACCACTGTTTTATTAGACAACAGATTCTCTTGCGCAAAGACCTTACCAAACACAAAAGAGAGAACGAGAAAATGTCGTTTTTACAATAGCCTTGACAATTTGCATTTTCCCCGAGTTTTCTCGTTCTTTCTTTTGTGTGTTTTGTAAGGTCTCTGCGTTTGAATCTGGTGTTAAATACAAACGCGGTTATTCGCTTTGAATTGGAAAATAGAGTGTTGGTCGGTGTATTAGTGCGGGAGGGTTATTTAATATTGAATCGATAGGACTACAGTTGTATACATTTCCCATGTACACAGAAAACGATTGCAGATCTTCAAGGACACATTTTGGGCTTTACTCAAAGGCTGCACACCGCTGAAGTTGAGCGACGTTCATTACGATTGGAATTATCCCGAGCTAATCAAGAAGTTACAGAGTTAAAATCACTGCAGACGGGACAACAAGAAGAAGTAAAGAAAACACGTGACAACGCACGGGAAATGGACGACAAAGTACAGCAACTGAAAGAACAGGTAAGCCATCACATGACCAAATCAAACGAAGTCTGTAGTAACAGATGGTATGGTATGGTAGCCTGTATATAACCACAGTTTAAACAAGGGCAGTTTACAGGAAAGTGAGTGAGTGACTGAGTGAGTGACAGATCGTTCACCTACAATAACGCAATCTCCAAAGCTAAGACCGAAGGGGAACATGGGAAAGCAAATATTACGAGTATAACAGTGTTTCAGTGCCAAAAGATTGCCTGCACTGAATAAAATGACATTCTCTACGGCTAATACTATGATTCGACTTTCTAAGTACTTAAATTTCCCTTGTCTGTCAGCTGTACCGATATGGTGGAAACTAGCGGCAAACTAGAATAAGCTGCGTTGGTGTTTCTAAAGAAACAGTTGTGAAGTTGTTTCAACTACTTTTTATGGTGTTAAAATTTATCTTTTTGCACTATACCGATATAGACTTTTTGCGAACCGAGAACGTTTTTGCAATTAGGTGTAAACATGGCAATAGAAGATAAACAAGCCTATACTATAAGAATTCAGGTTTTCAAGTTTCCCATAACCGTTTTTGAAGTTTGCCGCGGGAAGCACAGGTTACGCACAGAAATGGTTTAATTATTATTTAAAGTGAAGTCTATGGTTGTTTTGTAGTTGCTGTCGATGGTCCCAGTGACTCGGTTCGAGAGTGTTTGTGAAGAGCTGAATAACGCTTTGAAACGTGAACAACAAGCACAAGCTTTGCTGCATGAACAAACAACACAGATGCAGGAGATTGGCGCAAGACTCGAGATGCATTCCAGCCAGGGCGAGGAGAAAGACGCTACCTTAGAACAAGCTATTAGGGTAGGTTATACACCTATGAACACTTAAAGTGCACATGACACCATTAGAAATTCATTCTCATCCAAAAGAGAAAGTTCATCTGTGAAGAAAGAAATCGATTTTAAATTCTATTTTCTRAGTTATGGGCGATTGAAACTTAGAAAATGCAAATGAAGTGACGTCTACTAAGGAATGATTTGATATACAAAATCATGGAAGAGAACGTTATTCTTTTTGTTACATTTGGAAAAAGCATTTTCAGCTCGCAATTATTACTGCGATTGATGATTTTAGCTCTTCAACCAAAAACAGCATATCGCAAACAATGTAAAAAGTCTGGATCAATTCCTTAGTTGACGTCACTTCATTTGCATTTTCAATTTTCAAATGTCTATAACACAGAAAATACAATTCAAAATCTATTTCTTTCTTCACAGAAGTACTTGGCAGCGTGTTACCTTTCGGATAAAAGTGTTTTTCTAAAAGGTGTCATGTGCACTTTAACGAACATCTCTATAAACCTAATAGGCCTTTTCGCGACTAGAAAACACCTAT